CTTCAATTTCCTCAAAAAACAAACATAAAGGCTGCCGCCCTCAGCATTTTTGTTTGTTTTTAGAGGGAAATTGCTCAAAAAACTAAAAACCCTGCCTCAAAAACAAAAAAGCCACCGTCCCTCAGCCCTTGCGTCGCAGGCATGTCAAGTACCTCAAAAAACAAAAAGTCCACTGCCCTTAGCCCTTGCGTCGCTCGCACATCAAGTACCTTAAAAAAATAAAAAGGCCACCGCTCTCAGCCCCTGCGTCGCTCGTAAGTCAAGTCCCTCAAAAAACTAAAAAGCCACCGCCCTCAGCCCTTGCGTCGCTCGCATGCAAAGTCCTTCAAAAAACAAAAAAGCCACCGTCCCTCAGTCAGTGCGTCGCTCGCACGTCAAGTCCCTCAAAAAACAAAAAAGCCACCGCCCGCATGTAAAGCCCCTGCGTCGCTCGCATGTTCAGTCCCTCAAAAAATAAAAAGGCCACCGCCTTCAGCCCCTGCTTCGCACGGATTTCGATTTCCTCAAAAAACAAACATAAAGGCTGCCGCCCTCAGCCTTTTTGTTTGTTTTTAGAGGGAAATTACTCAAAAAACTAAAACCCCTGCATCGCTCGCACGTCAAGTCTCTCAAAAAACAAACAAAAAAAGCCGCCGCCCTCTGCCCCTGCGTCGCTCGCACGTCCAGTGCCTCAAAAAACAAAAAAGCCACCGTCCCTCAGCCCTTGCGTCGCTCGCACGTCAAGTCCCTCAAAAAAACAAAAAGGCCACGGCCCTCAGCCCCTGCGTCGCTCGCACGTCAAATCTCTCAAAAAACAAAAAAGCCAACGCCCTCAGCCCTTGCGTCGCTCGTAAGTCAAGTCCCTCAAAAAACAAAAAGGCTGCTGCCCTTAACCCCTGCGTCGCTCTTACGTCCAGTCCCTCAAAAAATAAAAAGGCCACCGCCTTCAGCCCCTGCGTCGCTCGCAGTTCAATTTCCACAAAAAACAAAAATAAAGGCTGCCGCCCTCAGCCTTTTTGTTTGTTTTCAGAGGGAAATTACTCAAAAAAACTAAAACCCCTGCATCGCTCGCACGTCAAGTCTCTCAAAAAACAAACAAAAAAAGCCGCCGCCCTCCATCGCTCGCACGTCAAGTCTCTCAAAAAACAAAAAAGTCCACCACCCTCAGCCCCTGCGTCGCTCGCACGTCCAGTGCCTCAAAAAACAAAAAAGCCACCGTCCCTCAGCCCCTGCGTCGCTCGCATGTTCAGTCCCTCAAAAAATAAAAAGGCCACCGCCTTCAGCCCCTGCTTCGCACGCACTTCGATTTCCTCAAAAAACAAACATAAAGGCTGCCGCCCTCAGCCTTTTTGTTTGTTTTTAGAGGGAAATTACAAAAAAAACTAAAACCCCTGCATCGCTCGCACGTCAAGTCTCTCAAAAAACTAACAAAAAAAGCCGCCGCCCTCTGCCCCTGAGTCGCTCGCACGTCCACTGACTCGAAAAACAAAAAAGCCATCGCCCTCAGCCCTTGCGACGCTCGCATGCCAAGTTCCTTAAAAAAACAAAAAGGCCACCGCTCTCTGCACCTGCGTCGCTCGCACGTCAAGTTCCTCATAAAACAAAAAAGCCACCGTCCTCAGCCCTTGCGTCACTCGTAAGTCAAGTACCTCAAAAAACAAAAAAGCCACAGCCCTTGCGTCGCTTGCATGTAAAGTCCCTCAAAAAACAAAAAGTCCATCGCCCATGTGTCGCTCGCACGTCAAGTCCCACAAATAACAAAAAGGTCACAACCCACAGCCCCTGCGTCACTCGCATGTCAAGTTCCTTAAAAAAACAAAAAGGCCACCGCTCTCAGCCCCTGCGTCGCTCGCACGTCAAGTCCCTCAAAAAACCAAAAGGCCACCGCCCCTCAGCCCTTGCGTCGCTCGCGTCAAGTCCCTCAAAAGACAAAAAGGCAACCGCCCTCAGCCCTTGCGTCGCTCTTACGTCAAGTCCCTCAAAAAACAAAAAAGCCACCGCCAGCATGTAAAGTCCCTCAAAAAACAAAAAGGCCACCGCTCTCAGCCCCTGCGTCGCTCG